AATCCCATAGTTATAAGCCCCTGGTGTTCGGTCATGGAAACCGGCAACCCAATTACTCTGAATTGGAATGGCGAACCACGTCAAGCCCCATCGGGATATTGATTTGGGTGCGATTGAACCTGTCTATAGCCTATTTTATTTTATTTTATTTTAATTTTATTTTTAGCTCAACGACTCGTTTTCTCAATGCTATCATGGGAATATTCAAGCTTTTATTTTAGATGCCACTGACAAAGAATTTGAAGCTCGAAGCCTGGGGTCCAACGTACGCCATTGTCAGTGAATAATAGCTCTAAGCCCCCACCGATCCGCTAAACACAAGTAGGAGTAGGTGCACGCTGATAGTGACGGTAGATCAAATCACCTGACCGTAACCACCTGAGACGCTCAATCGACCGGTGGTTTAACTTTGTGACTTCATCAATTCCAAAGTCGATCAGTTTTGGTAAACTGACAAAAAGAAGCGATGGTAGAAAACTGCTTTGTTGACTTGACGTCACCTCCATTTTTAACCTTGAAAAAGATGTTTGGCAGTAATAAAATATTATTGAATCGAATGGCTGATCAACGCAAACTTACTACCGTCAAAAAACTGAGGACGAATGAAAAACACAGATAAGCGATTAGTATTGACTAAGAAAACGTTCACTTTATTAGGAAAGCCACTGGATTCTAGGAGTATGGATCTCAAAGTGGATGATCGTTGTCTAAATTACAGGTCTAATCGAAACTGAAGCAACGGGTCCCTGTGAAACACTTGTCGGTTAGTATAGGCACCAGCATTTATACTGAAGTAAATTTTTCCAAATAATAAACAAGCTTTGGTGAGTCCTTATAGGCGTGACTTTTATGATTCGTTTATACTCAGCAGATGAAATGGTTCAGGATACTCCCATTCCATCACTAGTAGTTGACCTAGACCATGATGAGTTACGAGGTAACTAAAGGGAATGGAACAGTTTTTATTAACAGCAAATTAACATTGATAATAAGCAAGATGTAAGGGTTGTGTGCACTAATAGTCGTTCTTTAGGACCTTTTCGACTCTCTTCGGCATCGAATCCAACAACTTTGTTATGAAGTCATTTTCTATTTTGTGCTCCATTACGTATCGCACTTTTGCCTCCAATATCCAATGTATAGGTAGCACATTGACCTCTCTCTTCAAAACAGAAAGATTTTCAATCACGTTGAGATCCGGGATATTAGGAGGAAGTTGCATGAACTGGACCTTAGAGTCACGCATCGTTTCTGAAGTCTAAAAGCAAATAATAAGAGAACCAGACTGCTTAAATTAATAAATTTCCTAATCTCTCGTGAAACATGACGCGGAGTGTCATCCTGAAAAACGATAACTTTTCCAGACGAATATTTTTCATGAAATTCTGGAAACATTTTCATAATTACTGATAGAAATTTCCCACTATTCATGGTGCCTTTGACTGATGTCCACCTACAAGGCTGACCATGTTTTATCCCTGCCCAGATGAGTAATCTTGACGGGTGAGAAACTCTTTCATTTGGTGGAATAAGTTCTTTTGGGAAAGTTTGTGGTTTTCATGTTGAGATCATTTAATCTTGGCACCCAAGGTCAGGCATGTTTAATTGACAATCATGCAACCGAGAAACTACGTAGATTGAAGTAGACAAGATATAAATTATTGTCCATACCTATAGCATTATTACAGGTAATAAATATAATGAAACTCCATTTGATCATAAAGACAATGTCTTAGTGCATCACAATCGGCCAGTACTGTATTTTGTTCTACTTCGGTTTTCGCAAACTTTCACCTCTGCTAGCCGCTTTATTCGTCAGGGAATAGAGCAAAGGGATCGGTTTTCCCTTGTATTTGAACCGCATCAGACTGAACGATAAACGTAAGATATTTCGTTCTATTGTATCTGTTCTTTTTGGGGATTCTCGTGGATGCAGATCAAGCCAGAAAATTTCCGCGGTTTGACCGGCACTTTCCAATTCGACGGACAGGGTTGGCGATCGAATGTGAATTTCACCATTTTAGAATTTGCCATGAATGAATTCCGCAAGGTACGTTTCATGTATGGTATCAGTTCTCCGTTTCTGATTTGTGACTCCCATAATCTGAAGCCGCTAGGAATACGTTTTGGCGACTTTTATTTGATCGTTCATATTAGTGATACGTAATGCTAGTGTTTTACAATTGCTGTCTATCTATTTTCGACCGCAACACCAGAAATGGAGTCGAGGCATGAGAAATGCTCATAGTGATTAGGTAGGCTTATTGTCTTCCTGACTGATGTCCAATATACACTCCAACTTGTCGGTTGTAGACACTGAAAGACAGAACATCGAAGCGATAGCATTGGTGTCTTGTTTCTCATATTTCATCCGGTCAAAATCCTTGAAAACGTGTGTATACAGAGTTGAACTGTGCACTCTGTATCTGTTGATAATAGAGGTCCACCCTTCATTACCTTCTCTCAAAGCAGGCCTACTCCCCTATCGCCTTAGGCATTCGTGCTTAACGTGCATGAATTGATCGGTGAAGTTCACTTCAATTTATTTTGCCATACCACGGCCACGTTAATAATGATGATGATGATGACAACACCGAAATAAATGAGGTGATTTGCTGTTGCAAAACGGTGCACCGAAGGACTCCACGAAATGGGGTATTTCGATTGGGTACAACTGAGCTAGCACACTGCTTGTAGCTCGGTGCCGATTTCCGGAGAACGTTGGAGAACGTGGATTTAGCCGTATATGACATGTAGTTTGTTTATTACCACTGTCACTCGAGACGATGAATTTTTTTTTTTCAGTTCTGTCTGTGAGATGCATTTCTGGGTTTTCATGAAGACATAAATGTTGGATATTCTTACATCCAATTATTGTCCACCGAAGTAGCTAGCTTTGAAAAAGAAGAGACGACAAATTAGAATTGACAGAATAAAAGCAACAAGCGCTACTGTCGATGCATGTGACCAAAGTTACGTGGTCTGATTTGTTTTAATTGGAGATGCGTGAAAAAATACTTCAGGAACAGTCTTATCCAGCTTTCCCTTAAAGAGTTTGATAAAATAATACTGTCTTTCGTCTTTTTTGTTGGGCAAAGAAACCGACTAACTGTAGTTGAAGGCAACAGAAGCTTGAGTGGTTTGTGCTCGTCTGCTCTCTTTGGAGCTGGTTGGCACAGTGGTATCGCGCACGAATTGACGTTAGAGCTTCGACGTTTCGGATTGACCGATAAGTATGCATCCTTTTCCTATGTCTGATAGAAATAAAATTTGATTATGGTGATTCCTGAGTATAGGACTGACTGGAAAAATTGAAGATGAAGTTCAAACGAAAATCAGACAAAATCAACATTGGTAGTAATCATCATAATCCTAAAGCTAAATAGATGTATCACTTAACTACTGCTAGT